GCCTGTGATCTCTGTCAAATAAATAAATAAAATCTTAAAAAAAAAAAAAAAACACAAGCAATAGGTTCCTAAAAATTTCTACAAGCTACACTGCAACACTTTTATTTGATAACATTCTATGCAACCTTGTCAAAAGGTCATAAACTAAAGCATTATAATTTCCCTTAACATAACCCAAAAAAAGAGGATTTTTATCAATACTGAGATTCAAGGATAGATGAACAAATCCAAGATTATGAGACACACAAGTAGTTTCTCAATCCAGTAGTAAGAGTAGCCTAAGAAAGAAAGAACTGGCAGAAGAAAAAGAACTACATGTGCATGTAAAAACAGCACATGAACCTTCTGTGCATTTTAAACAAAATGACCACAATTAGACTAAAAGAGGAGACAGAGCACCTACTCCAGGGTTCTATCAGCTCCTTAAATTCGTAGAGTCCTGAAAAACAAAGGGATAGATGTCCTCAGAGAAACCAAAATAATCAGGAATCTCTTTAAAAACAAGAGGCAGATGAGATCAGATTAAAGGAGGTAATCATATACTCAGGAGTTTCTCCCCAGAAAAAAATTGATTCCAAAAGTGGGTATTGCTCCATGCACTGAAGGGACAAAAATGGGAAGGGACTTCCTGAAGGAAAGCAAAGCACTGTTAGTTGAGAAGCCTCAGCAGGACCAAGTGGGTCACCTCTTCTTGCTGCCTTTAGACCATGGGTAAAAGTAGTAAATAACATGTATTTATCCCCAAAGGATCAGGACATTTCCAAGTATCTAGTGACACATAGGAAGACCAGAACCCCTAAACTTTTCCTGGTACTACGCAATTCCCAACAACCTTTGGTATAGGCAGCCATGAACGGAGAGTATTTGCAGAGCGCGTAAAAGGGCATCTTAAAAAGCAAACAAAATCAACAACAACAAAACAGCCAAGAATCACCTAAATTTGGTGGGACAACATGGTGAAAGGGGGAAACCAACTGTAATTAATCAAGAAATATTCAAATCTTGGAGACTTAGAAGAGTAAAAAAAAAAAAAGAATTTAAAGTATAAGAAATACACTGAAGTAAATATAAAGACAGGAGTCCTCAGACAGAAATGGATTACAGATTACCTACGTGCACTGTAGAGAAATACCTGAAGGTCAAAAATCCCAAAAGCTTCAAAAGGGAGAAAACGTTACCCCCAGAGGAATGAGAATCAGATTTATATCGTTTCACTGGCAAGACTTTGATACATGAAGACGATGGAGAAATAACTTCAAAGCTCTGAGAGTGAATTTCTTTATATCCAAGGATTCCAAAGCCAATTAAGAGTATAGATATTTTCAGATATGTAGGGACTGAAAACTCTATCCCAGTCCTACTGAAATGAAGCCACACCCTTCTGTTGTGCAACAAGCCATCAACACACTTAGTGGCATAAAACATATTGTTATGCATAGAGATCCAACAGGCCAGTACTTCAGAAAGGTAACCAGAATTGACCCTTCTCAGCCTCATAGTTATCTGAGGCCTCTTCTAGAAGAGTTAAATGACTGGCACTGACTTCAACAGCTACAAAAGCTGAGGCTGGAGGATCTACTTCCAAGATGACTTCTTTCTTCACCTACCATTTAACCTCTGGGCTGAAATGGCTGATGAATGGGCTCAGTGAGAACTGTAAACTAGAGCACCCATACATGACTTCTCCATGTGGGCTGATTTTTCACAGTGTAGCAGGTAGGTCTTGAGATGGAGCAATCTAAGAAGGAATGTCCACTATAGCCCTGTATCTATTAAAGAAATTGAATCTGTAGTTAAAAGCTTTCTCCCATAAAAAAATTCCAGACATAGGGAGCCTCACATGAATTTGACCAAACATTTAAAAAAGAAATACCAATTCCATACAAATGCTAATAGAAAATTAAAGACAGCCAGCATTACCCTGATACCAAAAGCAGGCAAAGACATTAGGAGAAAACTACAATCCAATATCTCATCAACAGAGATGCAAAAATCTTAATGAAAGATTAGCAAATTAAATCTAATAATATAAAAAAGGATAATACTTCATGACTAAATAAGATCCCAGGACTGCAAGATTTACTTAACATTCAAAAACTGATAAATATAATTCATCAGATTAAAAAGCTAAAAAAAGGAAAAACACATGGTTATCACAATAGACACAGAAAATACACCTGATAAAAATCCAAAATCTATTCCTAATAAAATCTTCCAGTAAAGTAGAAACAGAAGGAAACTTCCTCAACACGATAACTAACAGCTATAGAAAAAAACCCACTATTATTTATCAGTGAAACACCAAATGTTTTCCCCAACGATAGGGAACAAGGTAAACAAGTCTGCTTTTGCCACTTCCATTTAACATTTTCCTTGATGTTCTAGACAGTGTAATACAGTAAGAAAAATAAAAGGCTTCTGGATTGAAAAGAAATAAAACTGTAGTTATTCAAAGGTAATATGGTCATTGATCTAGAAAATCCAACAGAAACTATAAAAAAGCTATTAGAACTAATCAGTGAGTTCAGCAAGATTTCCAGATGTAAGATTAATATACAAAAATCAAATGGAGATGACATCATTAAAAAAAAAAAAAAAAAAAAGCTTTTTATAAAGTGAACAAAAGGGCTCAGGGACCTGCAGAGCCAAAAAAAGAAAAAAAGAAATCCATCACTTATTCTACCAGAGGCTCAGAAAAAAAGGAAAAATGCAGAAACAAAAATTTATTTGAAGACATAATGGCTAAAAGCTTCCCAGATGAGGCAAAAGACATAAACCTATTAATTTAAGGAAAACAGTTAAAAACCCAAAGAAACACACAGCTAGACACATCATAATCAAACTTCTGAAAATGAAAGGCAACGAGAAATCTTCACAGCATCAGAGAGAAATACAGGAGAACAAAAGACAAAGGATTTCTCATCAAAACCACAGACACCAGAAGGAACTGCATGGTATTTTCAAGTATTACAGAAAAGAACGGTCAATAATTCTATATCCATTAAACGGTCTTTAGGATTGAGGATGAAATAAAGACTACTCAGATGAAGGGAAGCTAAGGTAATTTCTAGCCAGCAGACCTATTTTCAAGGAATGGCTAAAGGAAGTTATTCAAACAGGAAGGATAGGATAACAAGAGGAAACTCAGAACAACAGAAATGAAGAAAAGGCAACAGAAAGGTAAATAAACTATTCTTGAGTTTTAAATGTTATTTTTGACAGAAGCAAAAAAAATCCTAGCATTAACAATGTATATAGAGGTAATAGTAAGGATGACTATACCATAATGGGGAGATGATAAAGCAGCTTTGGTGATAGCAAGATTATATTTCACTTAAATGATAAAATGTTCACCCTGGAAGACTGTACTAACTATGTACATACAGTGTAATCTTTATAAGAACCATTAGAAAAATTTAGAACACTAGATAAATCAAATGGAGTATCAACAAATTGAAAGTGTATTTTCTCTGACCATAATGAAATCAACTAGATACCAAAAACAAAATGTCACAGGAAAGTCTCCTAAAACCTGGAAACTAAACAGCACTCTTCTAAATAATTCATAGATCAAAAAGTATGAGGAGAGGAGAAGAACATAATGACCTGAATGAAAATAAAAACAAAATTTACTAAAACTCTAAGACAAAGCTAGAGCAGTGCTTGTAGGGAAATTTGTTGCAATAAATGTATACCTTTAAGAAGAAAGTCTCAAACTACTAATCTATGGTTCCATCTGACAAAATCAGAAAAAGGACAAAAAGAACCTAAAACAAGCAAATAAAATAAAAACAAGAGCAGAAATCAGAAAAATTGACAACAGGGAAACAAATGAGATAATCATACTGTTTTTGTTGTTGCTATTTTAGAAAAATCAATAAAACCGGCCCAGATGGTTTCATTGACAAAGTCTATGAAATACTTACTGAACAAATAGCACCAATTCTATAGTCTCTTCCTAGCACTATTTTATGAGACCAGCCTTACTCTGATACCAAAAGCAAAGACAATATTAAAAAACAAACAAACAAAAAAAGCAATATTCCTCATGATTATAGATTCAAAAATTCTCAATAAAATATTAGCAAATTGAATCCAGCAATATAGAAAAAGAAAAATACACCACATCTAGTTGGGTTTATTCCAA